ATGGGAGCTAGAAAATGTTGAATTATTTTTTTAATTTTTGTCATAGAATGTGGACTTGTACATGTAGACCCACAAGTTGCGAGGGGGTAGCGAGAATGTGCCAGATATGGATTTTTAATTTTTTTCTGAACGGGATTTTTAATTTTTGAGGAATAATGGGGTACTTTAAAATGAGCAGCCAGAAAATGGGGTCGCATCATACACTCTCATGGCAACAGTGAGTGGTAACTGGTAAGAGTGTGTGAGTTCAAAGCTGGAAAATCAGGTAGAAAAAAATTACTTTTTCTTCAAAATACTGTCCCAAATTGAAGAGAACATTGTGTGGGGTCGAAAATATAACTAATTTGAAGCACCTCATTTATTATCAGAATACAAAATGCAAGTGATTACGCCCACACAGGGGTGGGCTAAACTACACAATCCCCGAAAATGGTTGACCCTTATTGCATAAATTGTTACAAGTTTATACTTTGCTTTATGTGGCCGACTCAACAGACAAATGCCGAACTTGTTCCAAATCGTTCAGTGACTGGTACTGCTGCAGTTGTACTTTGGGGACTTTCCAACGTGCAGTCGAGCCCAAACCGACCGCGATAACAAGCTTGATCTACGGGCTAGCAAATTTTTTAAATAACAACGGTACTGAACGAAGTGAACACTATGAAGCCCAGGAAGGGACAGGGTAGATTTTTTTTTTGGAATTTCCTAATTCGTTCGCACGAATTCCTAATTCGTTCGCACGAATTAGTAATTCGTTCGCACGAATTCCTAATTTGTTCGCACGAATTCCTAATTCGGGGGAACGAATAAGTAATTCGTGCGAACGAATTAGTATTTCGTGCGAACGAATTAGCAAACTCCAGTTATTCGTTCGCACGAATTAGTAATTCGTGGGAACGAATTAGTAATGCGTTCGAACGAATTACTAATTCGTGCGAACGAATTACTAATTCGTGCGAACGAATTAGCAAATGCCAAAAAAAATTCCACCCTGTCCCTTCCCAGGCTTCATAGAGCACAAAGTAATCGATCGAGCTGTAAAAGCTACATATTGCCGGTCTCGACCCGAGACCAGCCAAAATATCGAGACCAAAGGGGACCGAGACCGAGACCAAGACCGAGACCACAGCTTCTGAGACCGAGACCGAGACCAGCAAAAAGTGGTCTCGAGACCGGTCTCGAGACCGAGACCGGTCTCGAGACCTACAACACTGATTAATGGATGCCTAGTTGTTTTCTGAGTTCATGGTTGGCAAATGATGAGTTTGTCTGAAAGGGGTGTGTTCAAGATGCTTGGTGAAGTGTCTCGGACGCTGAATTCAGGCCCAATTTAAAACATGATTTAGCAACTTTTGATTTGAAATTGAGATCCTAGAATGCTGTTTTTCTCGAAATATACAGCTGAAGCTGAGCTGAAAATTCAGCAGGTTAGTTGTTCAGCACTCTTCTTTAGATTTTGAGCACTTTTGTTGCTTTAAACGAACAAAATGCACAAATTATAAATGATGGACTATATCTTTAAAGAAACCCAACGCCAAACATGCCAACATTCAAATCTTGGACGTTGCTATTGAGATTGTATAAAAAGGTCCGCACAATAATACTACAACATCGGCGCTTCAATACAGCAAGATACAAGTGTGTTCAGTGAGCTTTCTAGCTTTACGGCGTAAACTGCAGCTTTTGTGAGCATCATGTGTTGTTTTCCCATGTAGCCTGGTTTTCAGTTTCAGTACCAGCCTGTGACAGGAAATATCATAAGTACAGGGAAATCCCTATACATAGGAAATAACAACACGTTTACTCAGATCGACTTTCCTTGACCCAACTAACCTTTAGAATATCAGTTTACATTCAAGGAAATGGTGCAGCTAGAGTCTAGCTAAAATCCATGTACAGCCCTCCCCAATGTTATTTTAAGCCCCAGATAATGTGTGGCTGTTGACAGTCTTTAGAGGTTCCCCTCTCATTAATGAGTGTATTGAAGAAACTTCTTCTTGTGAGTTATATGCATGGCATGAACACTTGGTGATGTCAATCTTCATGTTACCAACATGACTCCCAATTGCAGAGTGTAGATGTTGTTAAGACGGAAACAACAGGCTTTCTTAATATTTTTTTTTAAAGATTAGCTTTAAGTGTTTCTCTACACCTTGTAGAGTTGTGAGTATTTTTCCAGATTTTTGGAAGTTGGGGTATTTATCACTGGTATCTATGACATTTTGGTATGCAACTTTTAAGATAAAACCAGCATCTGGAACTGAACGTTTCATCGAGTCAAATGTGCAATAGGGTTCCTGGTGTCACACGTTACTGGTAAAAAAAAAAGAGCCAGAATGTCTATTGTTTGAGCGAATCAGGTACATGAAAATGGGAATATTTGGGGCGGATTAAGAAAAATAAAAAAAATTTAAAGGAAAGGAACAAAAAAACACAACACCCCAGGAAAATAAGTAAATTTGATGTAACAATCAAATTTGAATGTCAATATCAGTTGTCAAATGAACAATTTGAGATACATTTACAAATGTATAGTAATATAAACTATTATTTCACTGATTTCAGACCGAACAACAACATCAATTTGGCTTTTTATATGAAATCACTCTTTTCCTGTAGACACTTCTGGAAATCTTAGTTTTTACTCCTAAACACGATGATGTAGGCCTACCGGTACCAGCTAAGATTTCGTGGAAACAATAATGAGCTAATACTGTCTTAGGCCAAAAAAAATAAGTCTCCGGTTTCTGGTATGGAGCTTGTCCAAAAAGTGGTGCGGCGACACGGCTTTTTTTTTTTTTACCTGACTTTTTTGCTTCAAATGTCGGCTGATGACTGCAAATGGTGCCCTTCTAAACTTAGTGCAAATATATGGGAGTCCAGAGAGGCCACATAAAGCTTATTCTCGATCATCTAAAAACACGTTAAAATTGTGCAGCAGCAGGATTCCAGTCAAACCAGTGAGTTTGGCGGTTTTGAGACATCATCTTTCATTGAAAAAAAAAAACTTTTCATTTTGCCGACGCGCATGGCTACGGCGACGCGCGCGCATGCCAGAAACCGGAGACTTTTTTTTTTTGGCCTTAATCCAAATTTTTGTTTTTAGGAAAAAGTTGTGACACACCCGGCCCCCAAAGCGAACAAAAAGTTTATGAAATGACATACATGTTCACATTCTGTCCACACCCATCCACTATATACTGGATGGGAAAAAACACACCAAGATTGCCTATGACTGATAGATTTTCTGTTAACACCATTTACCCCCCCCCCTACTTTTTATAAAATGTGACCCCATCCTGCAAAAAGCAAAATTATGAAATTGTTTAAATCTCGTGATGTAGCACTTGGGTGAGCTGTTCAAATATGAAAAAGAAAGTGAATTTATCTGAGCCGTTTATTGGCGCAAAAAAAAACACTTTTTTAATGTCATGCTGCCCTGCTTTTTGGTCGGGGTCAATAAACATCTGGATTTCTTAACATTTTCAGGGAATGTTAAAAAGAAAGGAAAACATTTGCCGGATGAGATAAGATTTCTGGACAACCCCCATTTCCTTACAATTGACACTATGCTCAGGCTGTTACAGGAAGTCTGGCACAATGTTTTCAACTGATGCGGTCTACAGGCTGAATTAATGGACGCCTTTAGTTGTTTTCTGAGTTCATGGTTGGCAAATGATGAGTTTCTCTGAAAGGGGCGTGTTCAAAAAGTCTATCATTTGCAGCTATCCGAAAAGTAATTGGTGTAATTATTGTTGAAAAACATACTTGGTTGAAAGATACTAAGGTGACTAAACTCCCTGTGACATTATTCTTTCTGGCAAGCTGTCACTTTGAAATAATCAACGAAAGAAGGCATTTCCAATGGTGCTTCTTAAGATGCACCGTAGGAAATTTAAATTAGTACTTCGTTTTGTTATTCGGCGAAGCACACGCAAGCATTGGCACGACGCACACGCACACGGGGTTGCTATAATTTGTCGGATCAGTGCGCGACATCACGTAGCCTGGTTTTCAGTTTCAGTACCAGCCTGTGACAGGAAATATGTACAGGGAAATCCCTATACATGGGAAATAACATGTTTACTCAGATTGACTTTCTTTGACCCAACTAACCTTTAGAATATCAGTTTACATTCAACGAAATGGTGCAGTCTAGTTAAAGTCCATACACAGCCCCCAAATGTATTGTTATTTCAAGCCCCAGATAATGTGTGGCTGTTGACAGTCTTCCCCTCTCATTAATGAGTGTATTGAAGAAACTTCTTCTTACTAATACGCTTGAGGGGATCAAGAAACCTTCCTTCCCCCTCCCTCATGCATGGCATGAACACTTGGTGATGTCAATCTTCATTTTACCAACATGACTCCCAATTTCAGAGTGTAGATGTTGTTAAGACCGAAACAACAGGCTTTCTTAATATATTTTTTTTTTAAAGGTAAGCTTTAAGTTTTTCTCTACACCTTGTAGAGTTGTGAGTATTTTTCCTGATTTTTGGAATTTGGGGTATTTATCACTGGTATCTATGACATTTTGGTATGCAACTTTTAAGATAAAACCAGCATCTGGAACTGAACGTTTCATCGAGTTTAATGTGCAATAGGGTTCCTGGTGTCACACGTTACTGGTAACCAATGTACATGTACCATCCCTGGCAGTGACCTTTCGTTGCCGCCCCATTTTAGGTTCCTGGTGTCACACATTACTGCTGATCAGGGGTAGGACCGGTACCGTCCCTGGAAGCTAGTGAGCGTACGTGCCATTCGATTTCAGGTTTCCTGGAGTCAGGTGACTGAACTGTGTACCATTCCTTGAAGTGAGCGTACGTGCCGTTCGATTTCATGTTTCATGGAGTCAGGTGACTGAACTGTGTACCATCCCTGCAGGATGCAACGTCCAGGGAGTGAGTGAATGTTCAGTCCAGTTTGAGACCTTGGCCCCTGGGTATCACACAACTACATTTGTAGCTGGTGATAACTTTAAAAATCCATCGGTTTCATTGGTGGATATCGAGTGGGTGCGGCACAAAGAGATCACGTGCACATTCAACATGCACATTTCGATACCCAAAGCCATCATATATAAGATTTTGCATGCGAGGGTTTCATCAGATTGACGACGTGGCATTCAGCCTTTGCATGCTTTCATTTACGAAGTCTGCTCGCAAACGTTGAGCTGTACTTGGACGGGAGTGCTTGCATCCTTTACAGTGTATAGCCCGCCGTTCTGCCCAGAAAGGTAAGAGTTTTAAGCTGCTTATCCGATGAGAAAGTCTCGTGGTTCAATACATGTACATTGTAGTTACACGATTCTGAAATTGTATTTGGAATGTCTTCTTCACAGTTGGCATTCAGGGTACATTCATGTACTCGTGTAATTGATTCTCTGCTGGTGGTACAGTAAGAGAATGTTTTGCTTGCTTCTGAGTTTTCAGTGATCTTTCAGCACCTGCCATTATGGCTATTCATTCATTGCATTTTGTTTCCATATTTGTTTTTCCTATACATGCTTTAGCTTGATTTCCCTCAATGTACAATGAATTGTCTTTTGTTGGTGGTTGATAGAAATAAATGTATTGAATTGAAATGAATTGAAATGAATTGAAATGAGTAATGGAAAAAGTAAGAATGGCTTAATTAAAGCCCTGTCCGCACTGGACTTTTTTTGGTCAAACTAACCGAGACTATGGGTACTTTTCCCATTTTAAGTCCAGTGCGGACAGCCTAGGACGTTTTCCTCTCGGTTACTTTTCCTGAGTCCAGCGGTTACTTTTACTGGCCAACTGCTGCCCAGGAAAACTTCCCACGCGCCCAGGAAAACTGACCAGGTCACTTTTCCCGAGACGATAAGTCCAGTGCGGACAGTGCGAGTCGGTAAAAGCGGCTCATAGTCAGGTGGCTTATAATTAGATCTAATTTTCGTCAAGATCGTGACCGACTGGTCCAAAGCACCAAACTTGGCAGATAGATTCTTATAGACCTAGAGAAGATATTTAGAAGGGGTGACACCCGAAATTCTTTTGGGAAGGGTGCCTAATTTGCATAAATCGTTAATCCCTGCCGTGTAATATATTTATTCCCATATTTAGGTATATTTTTATTTTTTTATTTTTTTGAAAAGTGTATTTAGGGGATTCTACTTACATATCTTTACTTAAATAACATTTTCCAAAGCATATAAGTGACTGAATAATTATGAGGACATAGTAACGATCCAAAATGGCTACGATTATGCCCTAAATTGCACTCATTTACCTTGTCCCCAGATATCATCAATTAGTCTTGCCAAACATCAGCATTGATGAACTTCAAATTCACCACGTAGCTTACTGGTACAGTTACCCTATTGAAACCTTATGCAAAATCATGTGAACAATGAGAACATTGTGATATTTAGCCAAGAAAACAAAAACTGGGGAAAAACGAGGTGTCCATAAATTGGGCTAACAAGTAAGGTGAAGGGTTGCCTAACATGGAAGACTGGAACAAGTTCAAGGAAATTCCCAAAATTATTGTTGAGAAAACGTTTTGGCGTAGACAAAATTATTGTAAACAACAATAATCTCTTATTTTGGGGGATTTTGTTGAACTTGTTCTAGTCCCCACGTTACCCTTTCCGTAGTAGCCCAATTTACGGACACCACATTTTCTCCCCTTTTTGGTGTTTTGGGCCAAACATCAAGATGATATCAATTTTCACATGATTTCCCACTTATTTTTGTTAGGTTAACTATGCCAGTAAGTACCTTTGTGAATTTGAAGCTCATCAATACCCACGATTGGGGACACTAGTTGATGATATCTGAGGAAAAGGTAAATGCGCGTAACTTTAGGGTAAAATAGTAGCAATTTTGGTGATTTACTATGTCCTCCTAATTATTCAGTCACTTACATGCTTTACAAAATGTTATTGAAGTAAGAATATGCAAGTAGAATCACCAAAATACACTTTTCAAAAAAATAATAATTAAAATATACCCAAATATGGGAAAAAATATATTACACGGCAGGGATTAACGATTTATGCAAATTAGGCACCCTTCCCAAAAGAATTTCAGGTGTCACCCCTTCTAAATATCTTCTCTAGGTCTATAAGAATCTATCTGCCAAGTTTGGTACTTTGGACCAGTCGGTCACGATTCCGACCATATGCCACCTGACTATCAGGAAAGCGTACATCCGGCCCGAGCGCCCTGTTATGCATACAGAGACCACATGAACCTGCACGTGCAGTGGCCGAACATTTTGTAGAAACACGCTGCGGTGTATCATCAAGTTCGAGCGGTAAAATCTCGTTAAAATATATATTTCAACGGACACATACATACACAGAGAAGAGAGATCACGTTCTGAGAATTAATTTGCGGAAATTCTCTTTCTCTACCGATGTATGTTATTTTCTACGATCCAAATTCGTCCTGATACGCTACTGTAGTCATGCACGGAACATCATGGTCCGATACCGTACGTAGGCCGTAGTCACTGATTCCTGGCCCACATCATAGCTTTGATTCTGTAAGCATGCGATGGGAACCAACGCATACTGATGGCACTGCTGCCGCACGGAACATCGTACAGCGGCATGGCTTCGACGACGTGCATCACAAATGCGTCAGAATTATATGCCTTTTCGTCAAGATTTAGCGTGTCAAGATGAAATAATATCGTGTAAACGATTATGTTGTGCATGCAAATGGCGTGTGTAATATTACTGTGGGTATCGGCGGCTGAAAATGTGATAGGCAATTTGTTTTCTGTGTACGGTGAGTCATTTCACTGACACTGTGACAGCTCGGTTACTTCTCCCACGCGGTCTGGGTAAATTTTCCCGTGTCGAAAGTCCAAGTGCGGACGGTGGTCACATTTGACCATTTCTCATTTTACTATCGTCTCGGTAAAACCTTAAAAAAAAAAGTCCAGTGCGGACACGGCTTAATCTTCTCTGTGTAACGGCAGCATTAGAAGGCAATGAATTAGGTATGCGGAAGCTATATGTGCGTTCATTGTGTAAATAAAACAAAGTATACAGGGTGAGTAAAAAAAAAGAAAACCCAAATGTCAGGACCAAGTTCATAAAGAGTTTCTGCATGTCACACTTTCAAAATGGAGGATATGAAAGCCCAATTAATAAGCTTTCTTCTAGTACAAGAATCATTCAAATTGGTCATGTACTTTAGTCAAGCACTGTTTTAGAGTTCTGTCCATGGATCACAAAAATAGGTAAGCATTCTTTCAGCAACGTTTTGCTGTAAACTTGCTAAAACCCTTTTTGTGATCCATGGACTGAACTTCATTTAACCCTGCAAGCTGCGAAGTGTAAAAACTTACCCCGTGTAGCTGAGGTGCTCATGCGTGAGGCAGTTTTGATTTCGCGTATAAAATACTATTTTGTGGACACGAACCTTTCTCTAATGGTCTAAATATTATGAATGCAGGTCCCCCGAACCCACACAAGATTGAATCCCCTCCAGTAGGTCACTCACAGACATTGTGGCTGCACAGTCATGTACATATACACTGCATGCACTGTGACCATTACATGTTGGATTGTCACAACATGTTGGATCGACCATTACATGTTGGATCCCCCCCCAAAAAAGATGGACATGAAACAGTCGAGACAGCCTTTCTGTGGCTCTAGACAGCTGTCACTGGGCCAGCAGTAGAGGATGATTGATGACATTGTTGTGACGGCGGTATGTAAAACACAGAGAACTTTTTTTGTGCACAAGTGAATGGGCTTTGGCTGGAGGCCCAACTTTCCCAGGGGCGGCTGACCCCCAAGTGAACTCCTACAAGAAAAGCGACCATACCATCTCAAACCACAATGTTCACTTTAAGATTACATGTAGTTTTAAGGGAATTGGGCGATAGCTTCATAAAAAAAGGTTAAGAAACCAAAAAAAGGGACTAGCGCGTGAGCCCCTGCGCAGCCCGCAGGGTTAAAAATTGGTCGTGACATTTGGGTTTCCTTTATTTTTACTCAACCTGTACAATCTGAAAATTAATAAAAATGTCATATATCCCCCTTTTTAAAGTGGGGGTATCATATCGCTTGTCCCCCACTTTTTTCGTCCCTGAAAAAAAACCCATTGTAGCCTTGATTGGATTCTGTAGCTCAGAATGGCTGATTCAATTACTCCAAACTAAAAAATGAAACATGAAAGTCTTGCACCCTTTCAAGAAAAAAAACACGTTGCAATGTCCAATCTGTCTCAAAGCATGAAAAAGTTGTGTATTTTTTTACATGAAAAAGATAATTTTGGTTCAAACTTGAATTCTTATCTTCTATCAAGGTGACCTCACCTAGAATGTAAAATAAAAATATCTTTTGATGTAAAGGTGATCCGTTACTTTACACTGTCTCTTCTGTCGCTCCGTCTGTCACAATTTTTTTCAATCAACTCGACATGCTCGAGGTTAAAAACAAGTTTAACATATTTTTTTGTAGATTCTTCTCGTTTTTAATATACTACATGCCATTCTTAAAGATAATAAATGCTTAGGGCCTATGCCTACATTTATTCAGCATAAATATGTCCCGTCTGTCATGTCCCGTCTGTCACAACATTAATGAGCCTGGTGTTTCCAGTTCCATGTTTGAATTACTAAGTAAAGTGTTCACTGCTTATTGGCATAAAAGTGATTAACTTTAAAAGAAAAAAAACATGAAATTTCCCATGGGAACAGATAGCTTTTCTCCAATGAAAGTCGTTTTCAAAATATGGAGTGTAATTTCCGTCCCGTCCGTCACGCTGATTTCACTTTGTCACTATGCAGCCACTGAATCCTCTAGTTTCATTGATTGTTTTTTAGTTAGAAATATAGAGTGTTGACTTTGACTTTGTATGGTACATCTTAGATGGTTACACCTTACATTTTGGTTATTGTAATCGTTTGAAAAAAAAAAGGTAGTGAAAATTGTCCCCTCTGTCACGCCGGAATTGACCTCCAATATGGAAAACAATGATAAATTTGGATTCCTTATGATGTGACCTTTCCAAAACAAACTTAAGATTAACAAATTTGGCCCACAGGTTATGGAAATAGAATCATTTGGAAATTGACGGTGAAGCTCCTTTTGACCGATATAGCAAAACAATGGCACTAAAAGTAGAACTTTCGGCTTTTTCATTCTAAATTACCTCATACGCTAAATATCAATATGAACCAAGTTGAAGGGGGTGGGGTTGAACCCATTGGGTGATTTGAAACAGTATGACCCTGCATACTTGTTCAATGTAGTTTGGGTCAAAAATAAAATAAAACAGGAGGTCTTGTCTTTTCTCTTGAGTCTTTGACAGATAATCACAGAGCTGTTCCGTTTTTTAATATTAAGTTATTTCTTTGTAACTTTATGCACCAATGATGTCAAATAAACATTGAAATGTGTTCAAGCCGTGATCTGAATTGGCATTATCGTAAGAACAAGCCCATACCCCAAAACATGTAGTTTAAAAAATACACTATTCAAAATCAAAATTAACAGAAACTGGCACTTAAAAAATGCAAATGTCAAAAATACACCTTTAACACAAAATTGTTTTAAAGGACAATTAACACCTTCTCAAAATACATTAAAGTAAAGAATACAAAAAGTGTTCAGAAATGCATCATTTTTTAAAAATCCAAACAAAACAGATTGATAAAAAATCTGTGTTATTACAGAAGAGATTAGAATAGTAATAGAACAGGAATCTTATGATTTTTCATATAACAAGACCCCACTAAGAGCTTGTAACAATTCAGTGTTGCTGCTGATGACGTCAGAATGACGTCAAAATAATTTCATTTAGATTTCATTACGTCTTCAAGTGAAAACAAATTTACCACAAAAAGTGTCATGATCGTAGGGGTTACGATATGACAGTGCTGTCCTAATTCACAGAAAAGGCAACCACAGCCATATCACCGTATCTGCTTTGTCCAGTTATATCTGCTTATCACAAAATGCTGTGCTTCACCACATATGTTCCGTTCGCAGATCAATAATGAACTAGGGGTGGGACATATTTATAAAAGAAATGTACCAAACAGGCCTTTTTGTGTTTTTAGAAATTATTATATATTTTTTATGGATCCGCCACTGTTACAGTCGCAGTAGATTTCAATGTGATTTTTTTTATTGAGACTCTTTAATTTAAGTAAGATTTGAGGCTTTGCATGGTGGAGATACTGAATAATAAAAGGTTTGCGGAAACACCATGTGCGAATAATTTCTCAACTAAGAGAATGGTTCTGAAAAGAACCAGAGGTATAAACTCGACGTTCCGGTCAGTATACTCTGACCGTCTTCAGGAGAGTCCTGAAGACGGTCAGAGGCTCAGAGCATACTGACCGGAACGTCGAGTTTATACCTCTGGTTCTTTTCAGAACCATTCTCTTAGTTGAGAAATTATTCGCATATGGTGTTTCCGCAAACCTTTCATTACTCTTTAATTTGTTTTCTATTTGATTTATTTGACGTGTTGAAATTGTCCCTCTTACAGTTTGTTTGAATGACATGGCAACCCAGAGCGATATAATCACCAAGGCGTGCAATGGGGCACTGGAAGAAATCCAGAAGAAAGCTCCTGCAGAGTACGCCAAACTGAATGCTGATCCTGATAAAAAGGCCAAACTCATTCAAGCTGCAAACTCCGCAGCGACTGAATGTGTGAAACTGGCCGAGGAGTTTGCCGACAAGCCACACGAGAACATTGCCGAACGACTTGCAAAACACCTGTCCGGAGAGAGAATCAAGCTGATTCAAGGGGGACTAAGCATTCCAACCTTCCGGATGGACATAACCAAGAGTGCTGGAAACTCTTTGGCACAGTTCACCCGTGGTGGGGAGCAGTTTCTTACCGCACGAGCACTGGCAACATCTGTTGACATCGACTGGGCGACCATCAAGCAGTATGGCAGTGTTCTTGTGGAAGCCGTACTGCTTGTTATGTCAGCTGCGGGAATATCAGTCAGTCCAAGTTCAAAGGTGATTGGGCGCGCTGTTGAGGAAGCAGTTGACGCGATCCAAGCATCCTCAAAATTGCAGAAGGCGTTGGAAGTCTTTGTCGAAGCCTGGAATGAAGGTGGTAGTGCCTTCTCGAAAGCTAAAGCACTCTTCAACCTCATCAAAGACAGCTACGCCGCAGGCATCCTCTGGACCATCATCAAGACCGTATGCAGCGAAATGGCTTGGTATGAGTGGCTTGAAGCTGCAGCTAAAGTTACCGCCATGATTATAGCTGCTCTGGCTACCGACGGGGTTGCTCTGATAGCTGAGATTGCCCTCATTGTCCTTGCGGCTGTGGACTTCGCAAGGAAGATTGCTAACATTGTCGTGCTCTCCGAATTGAAACAAAGCCTGTAGAAAAGGCAGTTTGATAACTAGGAGCAAACAAACCTACAATCCTTGACATAACTTTTCGTGACACTCGGTTTCCCTATTCATCTCACCTCATAAAAGATTGTCCAAAACACAGTTCTTGAGACAGGCTTGATAGCTCACATGAATTTTCAGTGAGTTTTTCATAAGTTTTCGGTGTCCGAAAGTTGTGGCCGTGGTTGTAGTTGGCTAATTGAGATGCATACATTAAGACGATTTTTTTTATTTTTTGCTTAACTTCTATAAATCAAGAAAACAATAGATTTATGATCTGTAACCAAAAAGGAAGAAGTGTTATCTGGAAACGATAAATTGCTCAGTAGGGCCGTATGTATGTTTAAATGTATTTTGTTAGTGAAACAAATATATTCTGAGACTTCAGTTCAAATTTATGCAAAATATTCTGATATTTGCGATGTATAAAAAAGAGGGTTTTTTTTTTACAGAAAGAAAAGCAAGTATTACAGTTTTACAGTACTTTAGTTTGCTTCGCCCGTGTAATTGTTTAGTTTTTTTTTACTATTATACTTGGAAAAATATTCTCTGAAAATTGCAAAGAGTCTTACATTACATATTTGCTATATATTGAAAATAAGTAGTTTGTTTTGAAATAGTTATGTAGATTAAGAGTCAACTGTAGTTTTAAACATTGGTTTTATAGAATTTTAACTCGTTTTTTTTTTGTTTCATTTTTGCAAACTTCTTGAAATAAGAGCTAATATAAAACAAGTTGCTACTTTTCATTGATAATTGAAACAAAAAGCTATTGAATCGATTCCGCTCATTTGGCCACAAAACAATAATTTTTAGTTGAAAACCCTGCATGTTGAAATTATGTGTTGGTGGAGCTTCCGGAAATTGGTCAAAACTTTTCAACAACTTCAACTATATACAAATAGCCAACATTGTTTTAAACTGCTGCGAATGATTAATCGCATGGCGGATCTCGATTTCCTCGAGTGTTTGACTGTCTCGAAAACCTTCCAGATGAGCGGCAGTCCAGATGATCCTAGGGCGATAATCCGTTTGGAGACTGTCTGTCGCCGCGCGTAACTAATTTTCCCTTATATTATTCGAACGACAAATCTACCCAACCAGACAAGAAATGGGACCCAGACACACAAGCTCAAGCTTCAAGAAGTCTCTTTTTATTCAGCCATGCAACAACTGAAGTTCCTTTATTAAGAATGCCTCAACAAAAAGTAAATACTTAAAAGATGGGGTTTCCTTAAGGTGAGGGGTTTCTTAAGGGAAGGGAGTTCCTTAAGGGAAGGGGTTTCCTTGGCTCCAGACGACCCTCCGAGGTCTCTCGAAGGCAGATGCTGATCGTCCTGATGAGCTCGACCCTTCGTCTCCCGCGAGGCAGTTGTCGTTCCGGATACCTTAGAAATGGATTCCTCAAGGGAAGGGGGTTTCCTTAAGGGAAGGGGTTTCCTTAAGGGAAAGGGAGTTCCTTAATGGAAAGGGATTTACTTTAGGGGAAGGGTTTCCGTAAGGGAAAGTGAGTTTCTTAAAGAGAAATGGTTTCCTTAAGGGAAAGGATTTCCTTAAGGGAAGGAGATTTTCTTATCGATAATTCAACAATAAACATGCTTCACTAACAAGATCTGCCAATTATGTCTAGGAAAGCAAATGGAGAATTCCTGCACAGAGGTGACAATAATAAACCCAAATATGCTGTCTTCAATCGAACGAGTATTAAGCTTCACTTAATCAAGTAAACCCAAGGATCAATTCCACCACTATTTATAAAAGAAAAGGAGTGTGTAACATTAACAATACAGCTGCTCTACACTCACGGTAAGCTTTGCCGTCACTCCCCGACACAACGCTCTGTCTGTCTCCACGAAGCTTTTCTTAGTCTGCCACTCTACGGCGCGCCAAAACAATCTGACCAGAATCCGCGCAAACGCTTGCTTTTATACCCCATTCTAAAAATAGCACATAATTATGGCGGGCAAGCGAAACATATAAAGAGTACATTTCGTTACAATAGCTTTAAATGAAGTGTAACTTTACATCCTTTAGTTTCTTATATCTGCAAAGCTTTCCATTTTAACGAATATTTCATCACTTTTCTCAAAACTTTTAGATGCAAAGCAATTATACAAATTGACATTATATGTATGTTTAATTTTCTTCCCGCCTTTTCACACTTATGATTTTACAGCAACTTACTGCTTACTCAATTCTAGCAAAACATAGTTTGAAAAATGTCATGTTTGAGTATCTGTATTTCTTTCCTTCACACTACTTTTTTCTTTTATTAAAGGAAATATTTTTTTATCACATCGGGAAAAAGGGAAAACACAGATTTGATTATATAAATCAAGAAAACAATAGATTTATGATCTGTAACCAAAAAGGAAGAAGTGTTAGCTGGAAACGATAAATTGCTCAGTAGGGCCGTATGTATGTTTAAATGTATTTTGTTAGTGAAACAAATATATTCTGAGACTTAAATACAAATTTATGCAAAATATTCTGATATTTGCGATGTATAAAAAAGAGGGGTTGTTTTTACAGAAAGAAAAGCAAGTATTACAGAGTGAGACACTCTATAAAAGAAAAACATGCAGGCCAGTGAAAATGCCCGCGATGAGTTTAAACAGTCTGATTCAGCAGCCCGGCTGACTAGTGAGAAAAAAGTTAAGGTCGAACCCTGTCAACCGTCATGTGTGACATATTTAAACATAACTTCAAAACAATAGTCCATTGATTTTCCAGCATATATAGTACCAAAAACATTTATAGATTTGTTTATAATTACATGGTTTGCATTTAGAAAGAAGGTAATATCTTTAGAAGGTTATACTTTTAGACTTACTAAATATAAATTGTAGTGACTTAAGCACATCTTACAACACGTTAAAAGTAAATGTAAAGCTACCTATTGTAGCTATTTTACCTACATGTATTACTATTAATAAATTGCTGGTGTAGCGCTGCATGCATGTTAAAATTTGGGGCTTAAGAGTGCAAGTATTGTTGTGTTTTCGTCCATGTTTGAAGAAATGAAGTTAGGTCAAACAAAAAAAAGAGGTTTTATAGCACTACTAATAATATCCAATTTAATATTTTATTATTTGGTTATGATTTCGTTATAATTTAGTTGAAACGTCATGTACGGGTTTCATTTTGCCTTTTCACAAAGTCAACCGAAATGTTCAGACTGAAATGATTTTTTTGCATAGCTTCCAAAAAAGAATATAATACAACAGCAACATCGGTTGACAGGAGGGGTACACACCGGTAAATCGATCCGCCAAGCTCATGAATAAAAGTTATACCCTCAAAATATTCTATATTAGAGAGTTCTGAGCGCCGTAAAATTGGGGAATTGAAGAGATATGGTAGTGAACCTCTGGCCCGGACTTGGGGCTTCCAATTCTGAGCATTTTGGATGCTATTGGGCTCGAAAGTGGCGCTATTTTGCCATGTTGTGGAGGGATCGTTTTTCAAGATGGCTACTTTTCCGCTTTGGGGAAAATAGGGGTCGTCTTCTTTGCGTGAAAATATCTCAAAGTCAATGGTCAACCCACCATAAATTGAAAAGAAAATGAAAGATGACACATTGATCATCATTTTTCTGTGCAGCTTGAATACCTGTGAGAGTTTTGAGTATTTTTAAAAGAATTTTGAAGTACGGGCATTTAGCACTAGTGTCTATGGGAGTTTATTTGCAGGTATGCACCCTATAGGGTAATCTGAACAAGTATAACAAAGTTTGAATTGCAGTCAAGTGTAATTTTCAAAACCAAGATCCGTTTTACTGGTGGACAGTGACAGATCCTGGGAGGGGCAGGCGTGGGGGGGGGGGATGTCAAAAAAACAAACCAGCTCTGTCAATTTTTTTTCCATAGAAATTCATGACAAATAATGCTAAAAAAACACCCTGCTCTGACACCCCAAAACAACTATACTGGTATTAATTTACACCAGTGCACAAAATACGCACAGAGCCTGCAGGGTTACGGGGGTATGTGTACACTATCCTTTAATTTAGTGTTAAGAATAGTCGGATTTGAACAGCGCCCCCATTGAAAGTATGGTACGAGACCCCTATATTGATTTTTCGGAGCCAACAAGTGTCCAGACAAAATCCCTGTCTACGGTTTCTGCATTGATTTGTTGACGACCCCCCCCCCCCCCCCCACCTGAAAAAATCCTGGATCCGCCCCTGAGGGTGGTCAAAATGGGATTTACATTACATTAGTCGCTTTGTGCTGCATATGAGCAGAAATCATTTTTGATATGAATATAAATTTTTAGTATCATGGTTGCCGGGATACACTCATGATCAGTGAATGTTTTTGTGTTACATACATGCACACTTAATTTTCTCTTCCTCCTCAGCGACAATATTTTTTCATTTGATATGGGTAAGCAATGAAAATCCGGAATTAATCCTTTCCATATGAAAGTGCTTATACAGGGTGACCCAACAAAATGCAACCCTAACATTTGCCTTTAAAAAAAAAAGATTGGTGGATTTTTATGGTTTGGGTATCACATTAAAGCTGAGAGTTTTTCTTTCACATACTGAAAACAAATCATGAAAGTAGCACTTTGGGTTACTGAGAAAATGCCAATTATGTAAAAGTAGTCATTTTTCATCTTGTGCACAAATACTTCAAACAGTGAAACATTTTACTGTAAGCCTACTGTGGAATTATCCTTCATTTGTGCAATATCTTTAATGTTTTGACATATTTATGATGCTGAAAATGTTTAAAATAGGACTAAAAACAATGAGATACCTGTTCGGGTGGAAAATGTAAGGTATTTCCAACTGATTCGTTTATGCACTTGTCGTAATATGTGCCGTGTTGTGAGTAAGGATTACGACATGCACAAATAAGTACATTGAAATTCCCTTACTGTGGTACTTTTTGGTGTAGAGTATGAAAAAAGACTTCATACAATTTTCTTTGGGTCAAAAAATGTTCAAAACATTGAGCTTTTATTACCATATCAATGTGAGT